GATGCGGAGGCGAGGCCTCGTCGCTTTGAAGCAGGGTAGAGGGCGGTCGCTATGGGGAGGACACAAAGGCGCCAGCATGAGCCCGCCCCGGAGCATGTGCAGGAGACATTCATGGGCCACTCCCCTGTGCCCCGGAGCATGTGCATGAGACATTCAAGGGTCACTCCCCTGTGTATCGGTACCTTGTCGTCAGCCAGAAGGGTGACAACAATGGGGTGATGATGTTGCGTTGCATGTTTTGCAACAAAACATTCTTGTGTATCAGTACCAGGCCACGAGGCACTTCGTCCAGATGAACTACTACAAGGACGTCAACGACGAAGTGTTGTACGAGATTGCATGACGGACTCAACAAAAGTTCGAGTCTGATCAGATGGAGAGGGTTGGCAGGTACGCAGCGGAGCGTGGACTCGATGTGCCCGGGGCCGGTGGTGGAAGGGGAGGAGAGGCGGGGCAGTGTTCGGTGGAGGGAGGGGGCAGGGGAGATGGTGGGCAGGGTGCGCCCGACCGCCCATTGGGGGGTGGAGGTGATGACACGTAGGAGGATGTGATCCATGTTGATCGCGAGGCGCGTGGCCCGGGCGAGGAGGGAGTCCCGAGACACGAGGACGTGTCAGAGTTCCATCCAGCCATTGGGGAGAGGATGGAGGAGTGAGTGCGGCGAGCAGGTAAGGGATAGGTGCCTGCGACGGAGGGTACGAGTGGGGAGGGTCCTTGGAAGGAAGGAGGAGTTGATCCGGCTGCCACCCAAGCTGGAAAGAGGTTTCGCAAACAGAAGGTGACTGAGGTCTACGGTGGCGAGTGGGTTGCTCGCCACAAAAAGGCCTTCCTTCGCTAGCTTTATTCCAGCGGGGTCTCCTTGAGCAGCCTGACAGTTCCCCGCGTGCTGTGCGCCCAACCACAGCGAGATTGCGAGTATGCGGGCGGTGGAGACCCACCGTGCGTAGTTGGCGAAGGAGTTGGAGGAGGTGAGGCAGCCATTCTGGGTGACTGGTGCCACCATCCTTTCTAACAGGAGACCGATCGTGAATTTCCTTGCCACAGGCTCGCGAGGGGTCGTCATGAACATGATGATCAATCGAGAGGGCGAGCCGAACGATGCAGAGCACGTCCTTCGGAGATGGGTTACCATCTTCCACGAGTTCAGGTTCGGTGGGCCGCAGTGGGTCAATGCGATATGCACTGGCTCCGCTTCTGCGTACGTGGGGGCTGCAAGGGCAATGGCTTCACCGACTATGCATCTTGCACTGAGGAGGATCACTTAGCTCCCGTGCTCCGTCCATGTCTGCAACAAATTGTTGTGAGACCTGGAGACGAGTTGCGATGCGTTTGTGGACACGATCACCCACCAGGCCACCCTTCATTTTTTTAGGAGGCGCAACACTGACAAGGGGCTTATTCTTTCCTGTGAGACGCCGTTCGCGTCTGTTTATTCCATGTTGTAGAGGTTGTTGTCTCTACATGACAGTTTGCAGGACATGATGCAAGGGGACGACTCGCGGGTTTTCGCTTCCATCCCGTGGTCCGCTGATGTGTGCATCATGGCGCGTTGGGTACGCCGATAGATCAGATGGGATCCTTGGTGGCAGAGGGTGGCCACGATTGTCCATATCATGGAGCCCGTCATGTAGTTGTTTAGGCGGATGGATCGTGGAGGTCAATTCATGTCGCTCATGATCGAGTGGGCACATGATCTTGTCCACCGTGTGACGGACGCATGCGCTGCTTTGGGGCAGTCCTTCGCTGACCGAATCATCAGTCGTGTGCAGGTCCGCACACAACACATGCTTGAGCTGGCTCACTGCGCTGGGTTCTTACTGAACCCCCGCAGGCGACATGTTCAATACTTTTCTGGCGAGGTAGCGGAGTACCATGCTTAGCTTGTGAGGCAAGCCAAAAAGTACATTCTGACGCTGACAGGTTTCAAGTTATACGGTGCGGATCACATCGTTGCCTGTCGTCAGTTAGAGGACTTCCACATGCAGCAGGGCAGGTTTGGTGATTGGGGCGGGGCGGAGGGGCGTGCTCGTGGGCGCGCATGTAGCGGTAACGCCGAGACGATCGAGTGCGCGTCTTGGTGGTCCCAAGTCGGGGCTGGTGCGCCTGAGTTGCAGCGGTACGCTCTTCATGTGATGCACATGTGGTCCTGCGCCTATCCAGCGGAGACGAACTGGGCAGTCCACGAGGGCATCCACACGAAGAAGCGCAACCAATTGGCCTTCGAGAAGGTCGTGCAACTGGTTGAGATCACTGCAAATGTGCGGTTGACAGAGTATCGGCGGGTAGGATGCGGTTATGTGCTGCCATGGCAGCGGAACGAGGGCATGCAGGACTGCCAGGAAGGACTCGAGGTGGAGCCGGCGCGCACGGGCACACACAGGGGGATGATGGAGGAGAGATTGCCCAACAGGTTGCGCTTATTACATGCGATCCCATCGGGGCTTTGGCACTGCCATCTTCTGATGCTGTTTTTGGTCGACGTGCCTGCATTTTCCGTCCCTACCTCAGCGAGGATGACTTGGATGAGGAGCTGATACCCGAGGCAGCAGATGACCCTGCACTCTACATTCCTCACGAAATCGATGAGACGCACGATGATCCTGAGGACGAGGAGACGAGGACACATACTGCACGACGGGCTTTGGACCGGGCGGACAGGGAGATGCTGGGGGGAGACGAGGATTTTTGGGGCCCTTTCGGGGAGGTGGCTTCCATGGGTGATGTGCGTGATGACAGAGTCAGGGGCTTGCATGCAGGCACGAGCCAGACAGAGGCGCGGATGGCGTCTCCTACTCCGATGAGGCCAGAGTCGTCCATGCCGCCACCTCCAGCTCCGAGTCCTGCACCATCATCGCCTGTCTCGCCACATGAGCCGGCCACAGCAGCGGTGGACACAGAGGAATTGGCATCCTCCTTGCTTCAACACGGACTTCTGCAGAGACTTGTGGTGATCCGCCGGCTGAGGTTACGATCACCTTCCCTGGGGATGTTGCAGGAGGAGGGGCTACCATCAACAGCACCAGTGGTGGGGGAGGTGGCAGCAGCGGAAGGGGAAGTAGTAGCAACAGCAACAGTGGAGGGCGAGGTGGCAGCAGTGGAGGGGGAGGTGGCACCAATGGAGGAGGAGATAGCAGCAGCAACGGAGGAGGAAGTAGCATCATCAACAGCAGTGGAGGGGGAGGTGGCAGCGGCGAAGGAGGAGACAACAGCAGCAACACAGGTGCCGAATGAAGCCATGCAGCGTGATGGTGCAGACAACGTTGAGGGTGGTGAGGCTGTCGAGGAGCGCCTCATGCAACAGTTCATCACAGAGGAACTCGATCCGGTGTCGAGCGCATTGGTCCCACACGGGAACCCTCCCGGCCGCGTCACGCAGGATTTGGCAGGATTTGTCGCGGAGAGCGTTTGCCGCTCCGGCCGAGTGCGCCAGCCGTACCTCTCACGAGCCCCTACGACAGGACAGAGTCACGTGAGGCACCGCTACGTCCACCTGCGGGAGCTGTCACCATCCCTTAGGTGGGTGTATCCCCGCCGAGCTACTGAACCACATGCGAAAGCTTTTCGTATGCAATTGCAGAGGTGGTCCAACCGAGGGCGTTTCTCGCTCGCTGTAGCATAGGGGGTACGCGCGGTCGAACGCCCAAAATCCAACCCGCACGCGAATCGACGCACTGGGGGGCTGAAGTCCCAAGCGCGACCCGGCGTCGGTCGACTAGGACACACCCTACACACCACGCGTTACGCCACAACACTCACACTTACCACACATAACACCTGGACACACACAAAACAACCACTACAAACAACACCACAACGCAACAAACTCCTAGTCCCTTCAGTATCCGACCCATAACTCTATGCAGTAAGAATCAGATAGATATCGTGCGCTGGATTTCTTTATAAGTATAAAGCGAGCGCATGAAACATGATATAAAAGTTATGAGATAGGAGACGATCACTCTCACAATCACGGGGTGACTTCCTTCAAATATATATACATATATAATCATACGGAAAACCAAGTCTGGACTTCAATTCATAGAACATACCTGTAATCACATCAAAGGTCCACATTAATAAAACACACACTACACGGGGTCAACTTCAACCATTCTTTGCGCTCACACCCCTCACTTTAGCCACACAAGCCTCACTCTTTGCGCAACTCTCAAAATAAAGTACTCAACACCTTTATCAAATGACCATTCAATTAAAGTCCTGGTAAAAATGGAACAAAAGAACACAAAACACATGGCTAAAGCCTTTTTAGGTTGAGTAGCAAGAGTGGATTAGAGTTGAGCCGGAAACCGACCTGTTATCAAAAGATAACAGTAGATGATCTTTGTAGGATCAGCTTGAAACTAGTCAAGCCTTGAATCAATCTGAATAAAGGTGACCTGCAATGCAGCACAGGCTAGTACCCAAGCCATGCTTGAGTGATCAAGAAATAATCCTACCTTTCTAACTAATCTCTGATATCTATCTAAAATTACAAAAAAATTCGGCAGCATATCCCCTAAACAGGATGGATTGCCAGATCTTTCCTAGTTGAACATACTCTAACTCTCTAAATTCTAGAAAATTTTGACAGCGCTTCCCGTAGGAAAAGTGTTTTTCCAGAATTTCTATGAGTCCAAAATGACGAACTCTTTCAGATTTGTAGAAATTTCGGCAGCGCTTCCCGTAGGAACAGGAGATTGCCAAGATTTATACAAAACTGAAAATAGAGATACAAAACAAAGCTATACTTGAGACTAACTCCTGACACTTACTTGGAAGGTAGAATCAACGACAATCTTGATGAGGCTGTGCGATAACACTGATCCTAACTCCTAGTAGAGTCAGTCCTATCTTATCCCAAGCTTTCCCTCCCATCATCCATCCTACCTGCCTATAGCTCTAGCACTCGGCGAGCACCTAAAGCAACTAAACTATCAAAGAGATGCCCCAGAGTGGGAGCCCATAAGCATGCATAACCAAACATATCTCACAATCCCACATTAATTTAGTCCAAGTAGTTCGTTGAATCGCTCAGTTTCTTCCCTTTTACATCCCCCTTTCCTATGGCATACGGTCAGACAAGGCCCTAACCCTAGGGTATGCCTGACCTGCCTAGGTACACATTCAAGTAAAGTACGCACATTTGGACTGCCCTAACCCTAGGGTATGCCCAACATAACATGAACTGTACACATAAGGCATATGACCAGACCGCCCTAACCCTAGGGTACGTCTTGCTTCTGCCTAACTGACGACAAAGAGCATAGAACTGGGCTGCCCTAACCCTAGGGTATGCCCGATCTGCTTTAAACAAAGTTACATACGGTATCATTCTAGACCATCCCTACCCAGGGGTAGGTTTAGCTTACCTGAACATAAGTACAAACGACAAAAAGCTGGACCGCCCTAACCCTAGGGTACGTTCAACCCACAACACATCTACGACAAAAGCATATCACTAGGCCGTCCTAACCCTAGGGTACACCTAGTTAGCCATACAGTTTAAGTTATATAAGGCAATGTGATCAGGCTGCCCTAACTCTAGGGTATGCCTGATCTGCCTGAACAGTTATAAACACCGAAACGCTGGACCGCCCTAACCCTAGCGTACGCCCAACTTACTTTAAACGACAAAAGTTTATCGCTAGGCCGCCCTAACCCTAGGGTTAGGCTTAGTTAGCCATACAACATAAAATAGGGTACAAATACTTTCACAGACTTTATGTTTTTCCTTCTCTTATTAAGCAGTCGATCGGACCTTTCCAATAAATGAAACTTCCGATCCTGCCTCATGTCTAGAAGGGAAAATAAAACAGATTTATACTAACTTTCTGCTCCTTAGTGTTATCATGAGCATATAACTGAACCGCCCTAACCCTAGGGTACGTTCAGTCTGCCCAGTTACCTTTGTTTTACTCTTCATCTCTTTCCCTCTTCCTTAGTTCTACCTGACTTACTGACTGACTTTCCCCACCCGGGGTGCCCTTCTGTCAGAAGTATAAGTTCAATAAAATATATATATATCAAAATTTATACTTTTGGTTGGCCAGTTAATTCGTGGCTCATGGCTAAGCCTTCCTAACCCTAGGGTACGCTTAGTCTTATGACGTTATTCCCTCAGAAAAAAATATGCACCATAAATCATTAAAAGAAACATCAGGACTCTGAGCCTTCCCCACCTGGGGTGCCCGTCCTCCTGTTCAGAAACCCTCAAAGAAACAGCGACTTAGCCATCCAACCTAGGATAGGCCCAATCCTAAAAAAGGTCATTCAACCAACCCAACAAACAAAAATAAACATAGCACTGAGTCCACACCAACCTAGGGGAACTCAGCCTTGGGTTGACCCGGTCAAAGCATGCAAAACACCTTTCTCCCACCTTCCCCCTGTTCATTCTATTTGAATTCTCTCATAGATTATCTGAACACTCATACATAGTTGTTCCTTTACCTTCTCGCAATGCATGTCCTGACATACATAACCAAAACAAAAGATAATATCCTTACATAGTATTATTCAGCTACCCAAGGGATAACAGCTAGGGGAAGGGATTACACGCGTCAGACGAGATTATACCTGAAGTTCCCTGCCTCCAGAACCCCGCCTGGGCTCTGGCAGAGCTCCCGCAATCGGTGGGGCAAACCTCCCACAGAGGCCTTGGCGCGGACCTACGGGTTTCAATCCCGCCTGCCGCCTTCCTCTTGTAACCTTAGACTAGACTTAGAGTAAGAAGGATAGAAGAAGATAAGTCAGACGCTCGAGATCCAAGAGTGGGACAGACACAACTCACAATGAGAGGGCCTTGGAATCTTGAATCTCCTGAGGGCCCCGCAATGATGGCGAATCAGCGCAGTGAACTAGTCAAACCACAGCCAACCCGAAACCGATGGCACTTTGACGAGTCTTCCAGTTGCAACGGCAGTCCCCTTCACAAGCCTGACCACTCCCTCAGACCGCGATGCCGCTCCTACTGACCGAACCGCTGATTCGTAGCCCAAGACGACTGCGTTCGAATAGTGCACACCCCTTTGCTCTACTCGAAACGCAAGCGAAACTCGACAAGTCTCAGCAGACGATCGCAAGTACAATAACTTACTCAGCAACAAAGCACCGCAGTGATGCGCAATGCAATACCCAGCAAAACCCTACATACACAGTGAAATCTTGCAGCATGTTCAGTAAAACTTCGTGGTGCCAAGCATGGCGTAGTGCCCACCGCGAAACTCGGCAATATGGCTTTAGCAGCCGTTCACCCGTTTAGGGGCTGCAGCGGCTCCGAGCTGCAAAGATCCGGCCTCAAGGCCGTTAACAACAATGCCGGACTTCAACCAGCACCGATGCAGCCTCACAATGCCACAATCAGAATCAGCAGTAGCGACCAAGACACACGCACAAGCCGATCATGCAGCAACGTCTTGGCCAGGTACGTATTACATTCGTACTCGAATTCCCTAATGCCTCCAACCTTGAAGTCCGAATATGTTAAAGAATCGATTAGGCCCTGCTCTCACCATTGGTGTTTACGTCGGAAACCGAAAGCAGATGAGCTCTTGCTTTCTTGCTCCCTACGAGATTTCTGTTCTCGTCGAGCTCATCTCAGGACAGAGCCTCGCAACAGCTGTGCCCCCTCAACCAGACTACCCACTTTGTAGTGACTTCCGTCCTTATGCCCAAGTTTGACGAATGATCCGCACTCCAGTACAGTTGCGAGCTTCCATCAGAGTCTCTCTTGGCCTCGTTCTGCTCAGGCTTAGTCCCCCATTTACCGAGCCTGAACAGGCTGGCTCACGCCCGAACGTCTCATAGCAGACTGCGGTTGGCTCGCATGCACGCAACGGATACCTGCCACGTGGAACAGGTAAGTCTCTCCTTCCTTCCTTTTTACTCCTTTCTCCTAGTTCCCTTCGATGCACCTCATTTTCTGCTGCACCCTCTGCACAATGAGTTTAGTAACCATTGCGATGGAGGCGAGGACCCAGATGAGCACAGTGATACGAGCACAACAACAGTCAAGATCAAGCATGACCTTGTCCGTGAGAGCGACAACTACTGATTATGGCGCTGGTACGCGCCTCACCCCTTTCTCACCATGCACCTGGCCCGGATCTTCCTCCGATCCTCTCCTCCTCGTTCTATTATACAGAATCTGCGACTTTCACTGGTAAGGCGACCTCGAACAGTGAGGTCGATGTCAAGGTTATCGAGGAGAGTAACTGCCGAGTAATGCGTCTACGATAGAGTAGAGGAGATGAACGTGGGGACGAAGATGGTTGGAATCAGGATAGGAGCTCAATACTTGGAGCTTCGATCTATGCTGGGCTCTAGGTAGCGATAGAGCAGCCATGACAGCATCACAACCGTGACTATGTACCTTGCCCCCAACTATTCGCCAACGTGCAAAAAAGAGAGTGTACCTTCCGCTCAAATGCGGAAAGATACTGGTTGTTCGAAGCCACCTGCCGCTCCATTCCTTTCTCGTAATGCTCTTTGACCACGACCCTGGTGCTGGCTTCATTCCACTTCCACCGATTGGGATGAGTAAGGCACCGACCAACAGGTAAGTCTCCAACCCCGCGGCTGGCCTCACGCTACTCTTTCGCCCCTGATATTTCCGACTCCGTTCGACACGCACCCGGCGCGACTCCGCGCCCGGATTCACTTCCCCCTTTCCTTGCGTTAGCTGCCTTGGCTCGTCTCTTTCTCTCACTTACACACACACACATGCGCTTGTTCGTTCCCACGGATTCGGCCGAT